AGTTCAACTGCGTGTTACAAACTGACCATTAGTTAATCCAAGAAAAAGTACTGAGGATTGAAGTCAACAATGTAACAGTGAGTTAGAAACCCATCCTCTCCCTTTTTGAAAGTGTTTCACTAACCTGCTAAATTACCCAGGCTGGGCTCAAATGTGTAGGACTCCTACTTCAGTCTCTCAGAGTATGGTTTGACAGGCATGCACCACTGTACCACTGGGAGTGGTATTTTTAAGAGAATGGGATTAAGAAAACTTCCAGCTTGCTATAACTTTACCTTACTCTCTTATTGGAATATATACTTTCCTTTTTCTTATTTAGAAACATGATTACAATAGAATTAACAGGGAGAAATACTAAGAGGATGGAACTAAAGTTTTTCCTGAATACGAGGATCCATATCATAAGTTATCTTGTACTTGATAGGAGAAATAGCTCCCAGATAACAGAATTACAGGAGGAAAAAATCTTCTATGCAAAACATTTCAGCCGGGCGTGGCTAGGAAATTTAAAGGAAAAAAAAAAGGCATAATGGCACAGGCCTATAATCCCACCACTTGGAGGCAAGAGGATCATAAGAACATCAAGGCTAGCCTAGGCTACATACTGAGGCCTTCTCTCAAAAAAAAAAAAAAAAAAAAAAAAAACCACCCAGAAAAGGGATGCTAGAAAAGGCACCCAACCTTAATTGAAATGTAAAGGAGGCTTCTGTTTGTTTTTTGAGACAGGGTCTCTTTGTATTCCACACTGCTCTTGAAATCACTATGTAGCCCAGGCATCCCAGAGTGGCTTTGAATTTGCAATCCTCTTGCCTCAGCCTCCCAATTGCTGAGATACAGGCATGTACCACTATGCTCAGTGCTTTTTTCCTTTAAACATCCTAACCACATAATGGTGAATCATAAGTTAAAAGCAATCACACTGTTCTCTTTCTTGAACACATATTACAGACTGGGGTCCATATTGGAATATTGGCAAACTGGAGATTTCCAATGTCTGAAGTAATAATGGTTCTGTTACTCATGAAATATGCAGAGTCTACATGTCAATACTACCCTGAAGCAAGTTCTCTTCAATAGGCAGAGATATCATATTATCCTATCCCCAAGAAGAGGGAGTCAGGAGAGGAAAGTCACACAAACTTTTGGTTTCCACATCACGGAAATTCTAACTTATAAACAGGAGTTATTTCCCTTTTAACCAGGTTCCTCTTATTATGTTGCCTAACTTCAAACCAATGGTTGTGACATTACCTTCATTTTCCGGAAATCAGGCACAAACTACAAAAGAGAATTTCCATTAATCAGCATTTATGGGAAAAGACATGAAGGAGACACATTAAGGTACATTTGAAAATGTAGCACTCCAGAGGCTGACACAGGTGGATCGCAAGTTTGAGCCCAGCCTGCACTACATAGTTTTGAGAAGCTGTTTCAAAACAAATGAAAGCAAGAAAGAGAAAAAGAAAGAAGGAAATACAAATAGAAAATGTACTTGAAAGTGCTCAGAAACAGAGATTTGGAAACCAACTGTTTTTCAAGGGAGAAAAAAACAAACAAATAAAACTAGCAAAACAAAACTGGGAGTCTGAGGCCAGAGGATCACAAGTTTGAGCACAACCTTGGGCAACTTAGGAATTTAGAGAGATCCTGTCTTTAAATAAAAATGGGCTGAGGATACATACAGCTCAGTGTGAAGATCATGAGTTCAAATTCCCATATTACAATGGGAGGGAAGGAAGGAAAGAGGAATGGAGGAAGGAAGAGAAAGAGAGAAAATTCTATTCTCCATAAGTGATTTCATGTTGTGTTAATAGCTTTCAAAATATTTAAAATAGCCTTAGCATTTACAAAGTTTACTTATACCTGGTACTGATAAAAAATAAAAAAATAAGTTTACTTACAATAAAAAATTAATTTAATAAATTTTATTATCAGTCAGGTGTGGTGGTGGACACCTGTAATCCCAGCACTCGGGAGGCTGAGGCAAGAGAATCATTGCAAGTTCAAGAATAGCCTAGGCTACAGAGTGCAAGGCCAGCCTGAACTGCACAGCGAGACACTGTCTCAAAAAGGACAAAAACATTTAATAAATAAATTTTATTATCATCAAGGAAATCTACCAATCCAAGCAAAGTGGCCAACAGTAAGGGAGGATGAGGCTGTAAAATGGAAGTAGCAACAGGAGGGAAAGTGTGCTCATTTTTCAACCAAGGTAGTAGTGAACACCGGAACAAGCAATGAGATGAGGAAGATGAATAAGGGACAGAACCATCCAAATATACCAAACATATTCCTATAATTTTTAAAATACACTTTATATTTTAGAGCTGTTTAAGGTTCACAGGAAAACTGACCAGAAATTACTGAGATTTTCCAGGTACCTCCTGACCCCACACCTTTATCACCTCCCCCATTACCAACATTCCAGCCCACAGTGATACATTTGTTGCAGTCATAAGCATAAGGGAACACATCATCAGCGAAAGTCCATAGTTTGCATTAGAGTCTCTCTTGGCATGGAACACTGCATAGGTTTGGACACATATATGATATATATTCAAAACGATAGCATCATACAGAATATTATGGCAACCAATACATTTTTTTTTACTGTCTTTATAGTCTTGCTTTTTCTAAAAAGTTCCACAGTTGGAATAATGCTGTATTAACTTTTCAGACTGGATTCCTTAAGTAATATGCATCTAAGTTTCTTCCATGTATTACCATTGTTTGGAAGCTGATTTAATTTTGAACTGATAACGCTCCACTGCCTAATGTACAACCGTGTATTTAGCTATTCACTTGTCGGAGGATATCTTCACTGCTTCCAAATTTTGGACTTATGAATAAAGTTGCTATAAACATTTTACAGGCATTTGTTTGGACATATTGTTCACTTTTAAGTAAATACTGAGGTGACTCTGGAGAACATGGCGGACAGACAACAGCAACTACTGAACGCTCTCTAAAGGCTCGGCTCAGAGGCCAGGAATGATGCGGACTAAGGAGATACGAACCAGTAGAGATATGCTCTGCTGACTCAGGAACGAACTGGGCTGAGAGAATACAACTTGGAATACAGTCCTGGCGCTAAAATAGGAACAGAAAAATCTCGGTGTGGAGGCTCGACTCCGCGCCATTGGAAACCGCGGCTTGGATTTCCTGCCGCGCGGCGGCCGGCTACCTCCACAGCGGCTCAGCAAGGAGAGACGCGACCCCCGAGCTCTGGGAACGGGCGTCTGGGAACGGTCTCGGAAACGCGACGGGCAGGAAGGAAGGCTGACTAGTGGCGAGGTGAGCGAGGAACTGACTCCCTACCCCAGTCTGACTCCAGCGGAGGATTTTCTGGGCGCGGGCAGTCCTGTAAGAGCAGGGCGCGGTGGCAACTGCAGCCGCGCATTTCCCTCTCGGACGGGATTGGTGAAAGGTGCCTGGCCGGAGGGACGCTGCTCGCGGACTCCCTAGGCTGGCCTAACCCAGATCCCAGAGCCTGACGGTGGCCCGGAGGAGCGACCGACTTCCGCGTAGGCTGCCTCCTCCGCAACTCCCTGGGGCGCAGCGGTGAGCTGGAACAACTAGCCAGCGCAATTCGATCAAGCTGTAGCTGACAGGCAGGGAAGCCGGGCCTCCTGTGTAAGATTACATTTTATAAGGAACAGAAAATATGGGGAAGGGAAGCAACAAAAAAGGCTCCTCGACCCCCAATCCTGAGAATCAGGCAATAGTGGACACTGTACCAATATACATTAAGCGCCATTTAGAGAGCCTCATAGACCAATTCAGGAATGAAGTTATCAATGACCTGAAGCTAGAAGTATGCAGAATAGTTAGAGAAATGCTAAGCACCACCCAGGAAAAAGCAGATGGTGGAGTGGAAGAACAGAAAAAGAGGGGAAAATTGCTTGATGGAGAAAACAGTGTAAAGGCTGTGGGTTCAATTCTTAGTATCTCCCCAAAAAGCAGAACTCTGTGATAATACACGTGATGCAAACATGTGTGCGTTGCATCAGGTGTAGTGGTGAAGGTCTCCAATCCAAGTACTTGGGAGGCTGAGCCAGGAGGATTGCAAGTTTAGAGGCCAGCATAGGCTACAGGGGTTACATAAGCAAATTCAAGGCCAGTCTAGACTGTGTAGGAAGAGCCCATCTCAAAATAGAACAAAAACAAAACAAAACAAAAAATACAAGGTAAGAGTTGGAGCTTCTCCACAGCCTTTCATCTGCAGGTTAGATTATTTTTCTTATATCATGGAAGCTAAATTCCAAGAGGTTTTATTTATTTTTTGAGATGGGGTCTTCCTGTGTAGTTCACATTTGTCTCAAATTCACTACTTAGTCCAGACTGGCCTCAAATCAACAGTAATCCTTCAGAGTGCTGGAATTATAGGAAAGCACCACCGTGCCCTGCTCCAAGAGGTATTGAAAGGCTCACTTCTGCGCAAGTACTTTTCAAGTCTCTATTCCTGTCAAGTTTGCTAACATCCCATTGCTTATGCAAGTTACATGGTCCAAGACCAAGATCAACAAGGGAGGGCCCAACAAAAGGGCACTGTTACTAGAAGGCATGAGTCAGGAGCCACCTATCTAGCAGCCTACAGCACTCATTCATTCATTCATTCATTCATTCATTCAATACTTCTAAAACACTTGGGCTTCATCGCTGTCATTCCCTATACTGTTTAGCCACTCTAGTACCCTAAGACATACCAGTGAAATGCTGCCTCTTCTTTTTGTATGGGATCCCAAAAATAACATGAACAATTAAAAATTTATTGAGCATCTAAAAAAAGATCAGGATAAAATTCTTGGAAGGAGCCTATCTTGTTGCATTTAGATGGCACAGAATAAAAGAGGGTAAAAAAGGGGTAACAGATCTGCATCATTATCAGTTAATTTACCCTAAAATTTTATATATCAATATCTTAATCACTTGGTTCATAGCTGAGATCTAATACTGGGGGAGGAATTGCACTAACAATTCATGAAACAGATTTCTTTTACCTCATTATTTCACCATAGTTTCCACAAACTGGCCCACAGCCCAGTGGTTCAGAAAGCATGGTCACTGAATCAACATCATCAGGGAACTCATCAACACTGCACATCCTCAGGTCTCACCCTGGAAACAAGAAATCGCAGAGCTGCAGCCCAGCAACCTGGGTTTTAACAAATCCTCTAAATGTTTCTAATTCAAGGAAGCCAGAGAATCACTACAATTTCCTCACCCCATTCTCACTGCAATACTGTGTAAAGTGACACACAATTTTAGGTAGTCACATTTAAATTACTAACATGTATGTAAGGGAACTCTCCAATTTGCAAGAGGAAGGGAGTGGTTCCCAATTTTGCCATTTAAACGAAGTAAAATTTAATTTCTAATCTGTCTTTGTCTTTGATTAGCAGAAGCAAATAACTTCACATTATCTATTTAATTCATCCATGAAATAACAAAGCACCTGTGCTCTTTACTGTAAATCTCTCCAGCACTTTCTGTGCTATGCTTTCTATGTCCACATCAATTTATAGCCAAATCATCATTAGAATAGGAAGGAGGGAGTAAGGAAAGGCTACCTTTCCAAATAGACTAGATTGGACAAAAGGTGTTACCAATCAGGCAAATATAAGAAGATCAAGAAGTGTTGCCTGAAAAACAATACACCATTGAACAAGGAGAAACTCCCAAAATGCTGAGTTTGTATTCTCTAAAATTGAGGAATAAAAACTGTAGGAACAATAATTAAGAGTAGGAGGAATTTATGGAGAGAAAGAAAGCTTCGGAGAGGGATATAAAGGGGTCTGGAATTCAGGTTGCCTTTCAACCCTGCTTCTCAAAGGTGTTTTACTGAACAAGGCCTCAAGGTGAGGTGGGGTTAAGGTGGGACAGAACTATAACTAATCAATAGGATTACACTAAGTCACTTAGGTAATATTTTTTTTCACTTAGGTAAATATTGATGCAATGCCAACTCATAGGATGGGTGTGCGGTGGGTCAAAACTATGGTCAACCAATAACTATACAGCAAATATAGTCAGTATGGTAATATTGATTAAATGGGAATCAAATGGGGAAACAAATCCATGGACAAGGACTTTCCTGGAAGGAGTGGGTTAAGGAAGCTTTGGTCCTCCACCCCAAGGTGATCTATGCCTCCCTAGAGTATCAATCACTGCTGTTCATTTCTAGGAGAAATATATGGGTGAGTACTTCTTTTTCCTGAGCCCTGGCCTTCAGTGAATGTATTTCCAGCCACAAGAGTCTTCTGCAGTGACCTCTTGAGGGCCCAGCTCATTCTGACTGCCTACAATATTTTTCCCTAATTTAGCAATTTATAATACCACCAGCAAAAGCTTCTCCAGGCAAATGTAGGCTTTCTGCTCATATAAATTTTGTGTATGAAAACCAAGAACAGGTAAAACATGAAAAAGAAGTGAAATACTCAGAGATTGTCCAAGGGGGATTAACTAAGATTTCCTGTTCTACCAGTCAGAAGTCATCATAGAGAGCTTTAGATGACTCAAACTATTTCAATTATTTGCAGGAATGACCTTGCTCCTGATTTTCACCTCTGGGTTTCTTTGGCAGAAACAGATGTGACAGTCTAACTATGTTATGCCTTTTTTTGATACGTCTTGGTAAATTTCAAAATTACCTAGGTGGGGTTTTAATTTGCAAACCTCAACCTCAAGTACTAGGAATACCAGCATGTGCCACAATACTTGGCTATAACCATGCTTCTTGTACAGTGCTCTCACAGGCATCACATCAGTTAAATTACCCATTAGCCCATCCACGTCAGTGACAGTGACATTTCCCCTATTTTACAAAGGAAAAAATGAGTTACACAAGGTCACAAAGATTAAGTGCTGAATGACAGGGTAAAGATCAGAGCAAGGACCTTACATTTCCAGTCCAGTGTTTCTTGTACTGCTTGTTTTGACATCAGATCTTACAGGGGTGAATAGGTGGTCCAGCATTCCATCTTCTTCGTTTTCATCCATCATCCTGGTATCCTTGCACTTTCATTTCCTCAGGCTGCTGTAAAAGGGCACTCAGTTTGATATCCAGAAACTGACATTCTAGTATCTCACTTATGCTTTCTGGGCCCCTAGCTGTCCCCTTGTTACTTCCAACTTTCTCACTGGTAGTCTGGAAAGTGGAACCAGAGCATCTATTGGTTGATTTTTACATTTATAGAGAATTTTCAGATTTTAGCTGCAGTTTAATGAGTTGAAAAATGTGAGCAAATGAGAGTAATTCCAAAAGGTTACAGTTCCATGAAATTAAATATTTAGGGTGTGGAGCTGAGATGGGCCACACTAGACCTTTCTGTTTAAGACACTTTCTTCCCATTTCCTGGTCTCTGAAACCATTAATATATATATTAATTTCTGAAAATTCAAGTAATATTTTGGCTTTCCAGTTTTGCTTTAGTGAAAAGAATGAATGTGGGATACACAACTATTGTAGGAAAAATATGTGAATACTTTATCTCTCCTCTACATCTAGTCCTATGTATTCTGAAATGACTAAACTGTAATCCCCACCATGTTGGTAAACAATTTGCTGTCCTGTTAGAATCTGAGCCAAAAGTGTGTGAAAGTTCAAACATGCTCAGGGATTTTTTTTAATTAATGGATTGATGTCGTAGGCTTGGTGACTTTGTTTTTACTGACTTCTGGAATCAAGGAAATTCTTACTCAGGTCATTTATTTAATTAATGCCTTTCACAGTTTCTGGAAGCAAGACAGTTTAGTTTATACCTTAATGCTTGCCTATATCCTTGCCTATCTCTTCCTATTCTAGGAAGTTCACAAATACTGACTCTCCTGCCCTCCTAGTTTAAAGCAAGCTGTTAATAATTAATAATAGTTATCAAACCCAACATCTCTACAAGCAGGCTTCATCTGGAACACCAGAATCTGATGCTTAGACAAAGTGTAAGAAAATACACTTCAACAGCCAAGTGTGATTATATAAACAAAAGACAATAAATGAAGTGGTATCAACAGGAGGGGAAAATAGAAATGATGTTCCAGCCGAGCATGGTGGCAAATATGTTTAATTTCAGCACTGGGGAGACTGAGGCAGTAACATTACTGTTAGTTCCAGACCAGCCTGCGCCACAGTTAACTAAGGGCCAGCCTGGATTGCACAGTGAGATCCTGTCTCAAAAAGAGAAAAAAAAAAGAAAAAAGAAAAAGAAATGATGTTTCAAAACACTGAGATATTTGGGAAAGCAGTGGAAGAAATAAAAGAGATTAAAATGCTTTGTGTGTGTGTGGTACTATGGAGTGAACCCAGGACCTTCACACTATATCACCAGCCCTTTAAAAATGTTAAAAAATTTTGAGTTAGGTTCTAAGCAGCTAAAATGATCAGGCTGGACTTGAATGTTCGATCTTCCAGCCTCAGCGTTCCAGAATATCTCGATTACATATAGATGTGTGCCACCTTTGTCAGCTGAACGTTTTTAAAATTGATGAGTGTATGGTGCCTTACAAAATCAATTTAGATTTTCAATCAGTATTTTGAAAAAATGATACAGAATTTAAAAATACACAAGACAAATACTGCTTAGGAAACTTTTTTCAAAACAGGGTCTTGCTATGTATACGTAGTTCAGGCTGCCTTTGAGCTCAGTCGTTTTCTCCTACCTCAGTTTCCCAGTGCTAGGATTATAGTCGCATTCTAACATTTTTTAATATACACTAATATATGTATATATATAAAACGTATTTATATAAATAAAATGTATGTGCACATACAGACACACAAGTCCTAGGTAGGTTTGTAAACTATTTCTGTGAATCTTGAGCTAAAGTTTGAAAGCTCCTGGTACACAGGACTCAAAACAGTATTGGAAGGTCAAGAGACAAATCTCCCTTTCCTTGCAAGCTCCCCTCCTGAGCAGTTAGTTAAGGCAGGGAGCGGAAGCGGCCTGTAGTGGAGAGGGGAGAGCAATGTGAAGCCCGGCGAAGAGCTAGGGCACGTCAGGACAGGGAAATGCCCTTTGCTTTCTGCCTGATTGGCCAATAGAGTGATTTTAAATGTTTTCCTCAAATGCTAAACGGAAAATCATCCGAGTCCCTGGTCCCTGAAATGCTTACAAAGGTGATAGGTTCGCCAGTTGCCCGAGGTGGTTTCACATGGCTCGACGCTGGTAAGTAGTGTTATCGACATGCGCCAAACCAGGAGGTGGGCGGGCTGTGAGAAGCGCGGGAAGGCCAGGCCGGGTCGGCCCACACAGCGACTCACGTGTTCCGCACAGCCCACCGGACGAATTTGCAACTTGGGATTTTTCTGAGGGCGCGGGTGGAGGTGTTCTTTTGCAGGCCGGCGGTGTTCACTGCCAATGGGCACCGCCCGCCTCCACGCGTAGCACTGCGGCGGGATGCCTGGGACGTCTGTTCTCGAGCGTCTCACGTGATGTGCTGCGCGGGCCACCGCCTCCTCCGCGCCGGGGCCCGCCCCCGTGACGTCGCACCGCCCTCCGCCTGGCGCAGTCGTCCGCTTCTTTCCGCGTTTGCTAATTGGCCATCCCTGTGGGCAGCACGCCCCCCCACACACCGTCACGCCCCCGGAGCCTTGGAGAACGCTGTGGAGGCGGGGCCTGGGCCAAAGGGGCGGGGTGAGTAGTCCCGGCGTGGGTAAAGGGGGCTGCTTTGAGCACGGTCCGAGCGTTTCCCTGCCGCGCGCCGCCTTGCCTTTTGCTCTAGTTGCCTACCCCTCCCCCGCCAGCGCGGTCACCTGGGAAACCGGCCGCGAGAGCCGGCGGACCTGCAGCTGAGTACATGGCATCTACGAAGAAAGCAGATTTGGGGCCGTTGGTGGGAGCGGTGGACCAGGGTACCAGTTCGACACGCTTTTTGGTGAGCACGGGGTGACATCTGAGGAAGCGCTGAGTCCGGGTGGAAGCTCCTAGAGGGAAAGGCTGCTAAGTCCCCATCACGCACCTCTCCTAACCCTGGGCCCCGGGTACTGGGCAAGCGGGGAGACCGAAGAGGGACCCGGCACGCTGGGGCTGCGCCGCCTGAGATCGGTGATCTCGGCCTCCCAGGACCCTCGCGTCAGAGCCTGTGCAATCTGTCGCGGCGATGGAGCCAGGTCACGTACTATCATGGGGACTCTATCTCAGAGAGCTGAGACTCTTGGAGCATCGACGCACAGCCGCCCGCCGGCAGCAGGGGACAGGTGGCCACATTGACCGCTAGAGCCATCTTCCCCAGGAGCATTTGGCCTGCGAGGCGCAGGACGACCTTGGATGTAGGGAAAGCTGTGTCATGGCTCTGGTGGCTTAACACAGCGTCCTTTTGAGCAGTAGGACAAATAAAGTATCAACATGATGATGCGTTGTCATCCACTTCCACAGAAATTGCAGAAGGTAGAACAGAGAGGGCGGCAGAGCAAATTAAGAAGCAGCCACACTGCACTGCTTTTGCCAAAATACTTCGAAAACTTGAAAATTTTAGTTCTGATACTATGCCCATTACAAACAACTATTGTCCTTTCTGCGTTTCCCAGCATAATGTAACTGGAAATTGTTTTCTTTTTATTTTCCGTGTGTGACAGAGTTTTACCAAAATAGAGAGCTAGTTAAGTAACTCTGCTAAGTTTTGTGAGTTTAGGAGAGTGCTCTTAAAGTGATCTAATATTGAATTAAGGGAGATTAATTTGTACTTTTTCACTTAAATTAGATTTTATTGGTACATTTCAGCTACACATAACTATCATATTCATATTTGTACGTGATATAACTTTTATTATTTTTCCCCATTTACACAGCTTTGTTTCCATGTTTTTCTTTTTTTAAAAAACGTTTTCTAAGGGAGATAATGGACATATGCTGGTAAAAGTCTATGCTTTCTTTCAGTGGGCATTTCACTAACCTGGCAAGCTAAGGTAATTAGTTGTGATTTTTTTTTTTTTAAATGGTTTTAGAAAGTGAACCCGGGCCTTGTACTCGCTAGGCAATCACTTTACTACTGAGCTGTGTGCCCAACTGAGACAGCATTAAGCAGCCAGTCTAGCCTGGGACTTGCAATCCTCATGCCTCAGCCTTCTCAATAGCTGGAATTACAGGCATGGGCCGCCATGCCTGGCCTAGTTATTGATCGTTTAGTTCCCACTTGATTTCCTCATCTCAAATTATTTTACCTGTATTGTGTGTTACAAATAGTTCAGTACTTTGGCTTGAACCTAGGGCCTTCCAATTGAACTCCATTTCCAGCCCTTTTAGAATTTTTATTCTGAGACAGGGTCTCACTAAGTTGTCCAGTCTGGGTTCAAATTTGCAATCCTCCTGCCTCAACCTTCCAAAGTGTTGGGACAATGGGTGTACCACCATACCTGGTTTGCACTGTTTATCTTTTGATTGCTCAGGGCAGGGTTTTTTTTTTTTTGTCTTACATTCATGTAAATGTTTATAAAGTAATTCTGAATCATAAGTAAGACAGACTGCTTAACTGGATTTGATTAATAAGTAAAATACAATCATTATTAGTATGTTCCCAATTTAAGAAAGACCATTAAGACTAGTGCCAGCTAAATGTGGCTTGATCTTCAAAGCATATTCAAGAATTGCTCATATAGATTCCTGAAAGGGTCAGGCAAATAGCAAGGTGTGAGCATACTGGGGAACATTTCATGCCAGGGGGCCACCATTAGCTGCTAAGCAGAAGTGCAGGTCCAGGGCTGCCATACCTTCACTTATTTATTTATTTTGGAGGGTACTGGAAATCAAACTCAGGACTCTGTGCTTGCCAGGCAGGCTCTGTGTGGCTGAGCTGCATCCCTGTGGCTCAACCTTCACATTTTTAAAGAAAAGTCCATAGTTTTCAATAACATCTTCTAACTTCTAAGTGATGACAAACTAGTTCATAAAGCATTGTGGAGTCCAAAGCAAGCAAGACAATTGGTATCAAGTTTGTGTGGCCTTTGTGCTCCTTGAAAGTGGATAAAATTTTTCATAACTTTGTAGGCTTCTTTTTAGCAGCCAACCTGAACATGTTTGTCTTTTCTTTGACTCGTTATTGCCGTACATGTAGCCCAGCAATCTTCTTTATCCACTTCACTTTGTTCCAGAGCCCTCCGATTTTGTTGTTCAAGAGGTATCTGTCTACGTTGATAGAGAAGGAATGGATCTACTTCATGGTGCCACAATCATTTGTTCAGTGTATAACATGAGCAAAATATAGCTTCGAACATTGGGTACCATTTGCTTGGTTCTGCAGGTCATGATCTCAGTGAGGGAGCTAAGGTACAAATTCAGAAAAAATTCTCATCCTGCTTAGAGATTGATGTGTAAAAGTTGATCAATAAAATCTGCTTCGGAGAAAGTTATAAATAATGCTTCAGAGACAGGTCCTGTGTGAGGTAGAGAAAAACTTGGGAAAAGTTTAGCAAAGTAGTTTTTTCTTATGGAAAGAAGTTATGAAACTACTCCCTGTGAAATGTAGATAAAAGATTTGCTGAATAAGTGCTTTAATCACAAGGTGATATCTAGGAATTATTCCAGCAATATTGTTCCACATTGTAATTATGACTCAAACAATTGCTTACCTTCTCAGGAAAAATACAGTGGAGAACTATAATAAGGAAGATTATAAAGTTAACTCCTTGACCATTAGTCATTCAATTTGCAAATTTAATTTAACTTTCTCAAGGTAGGTAACTTCCAAGTGTTTTTCTCCCTTTTTCTCTGTTAGCAATATTAGCTTCCTGCCATATACAGAAAAGGCTGTATTTATGCTCTTTATTGTGAGAGATATGTCTTCTACTCTATCCCCAACGTATCTGCTTCTTGAAATTCCATTCTACCTGTAAGGGCTCAAATGCCAGATTTTCGTAGTTTTTCTCAAACCCTTAGTTTGAACTGTTCCCCCTTCCTATACCATTTTTTAAAAATTAATATTTTTTAGTACTGGGATTTGAACCCAGGTTCTTCACACCAAGCTACATTTCCAGACCCTTTTTATTTTATTTTATTTTATTCTTTTAATTTTGAGACAGTCTTGCTAAGTCACTAATTTGCCCAGGCTGGAGTTGAACTTATAAACCTTCTGCCTCAGCTTCTCAATTTACAATCCTTCCTGCAGGGATTACAGATGTGTACTGCCATACCTGACAATTTGTTTTATTTATTTATTTATTTTTATTTATTTTTTGTCTTTTTGAGACAGAGTTTTACTATACAGTTCACGGCTGACCTTAAACTTGGTTTGTAGCCCAGGCTGGTCTCGAACTTGCAACAATCCTCCTGCCTTAGCCTCCCGAGTGCTGGGATTATAGGGGTGCACCACCAGGCCTGGCCTGCAATTTCTTTTATATTAGTTTTAAATATGCAGTCTTAGAGCTTGTCCATTTCTTCATCTAAGCTGTGAAAAAATTATTATTCTGGCTCTGCATATATTTTATACTAGCGGGAAAATTCCAACTTCTCTGATGTGAAAGTGAAATAGGATTGGCATATAGTTACTCATTTCAGAGTAGGAACTTCTTGGAAAGAGAATTAGTGTAACAGGTTTTAAGGAGGGGTTATTTATGAGACAAAAATTTCAGCTTAAGCAGTCAACTTCCTTCTTTAATTTGGTAACTTGATTTTTTCTATCAGGTCATATGTTTACAAAAAGGCTTAGAATATGTTGTGACTTGACATGTGTCAGATACTGCGCAGAGGACTTTTCCAGTATTAAGTAATTTAACATGATGCAGATGCTATAGGAAGCTCCAGCACACAGGTGAGGATTGTGCCCAACGTCACAAAATAACTGGTCAAACTAGGATTCAAGTCCAGGTCTTTCACACTGTGAATCCAGTCCTCCTAGGTACTGCCTTAGGTTCCCTTCTGCCTGGAGGATTATGAATAGGAGATGAGAGAACAGAGAAGGCTAGCGCCCCACCTGTCAATCAAGTGTCAGTTCCTATCATGGGATTATGGTCACAAGTAAATGACTCTTGGCCAAGAAAAACATACACTTGCAAATTGACTTCACAAGGTATATAAAATGCTGCTTTGAATAAGCACTATAGGTTATGATCATCTTGTGACTCAGATTTAGTTGGGCCTGGGCAGGGCTCAGGTGTGTCACTGGATAATGATTGCATAATCATTTGTTCCAATAGTCAGTATGTATGAAGAATGCCTAGAATTGTAGTTCTCTCCTTGTTTTGGCAGGAAGTATTGCCTTGGCCCCAAGTATCTCATCATACTTAGAGATCTCATAAGGCTTATGGCCAGATTTCCTCTTCCTTCCTTTTCATTTATTTACTTGACACATATAATATGTACCCATTATGGGTCAGGGATAAGGTATAGTAAATTTGGTAAAGTTAATTTAACTTATAGCTGGAATGAGGACATACGGTAAGTTACCCGTAGTCCTTGTTTATTTTTTCCTTACTGCATTCACTTCTTTTCTTGTCAGTTATACTACCAAGGTGGCATGAATACATCTTATCAGAGGGCTTCCACTTGTTCATTTCCTCTTGTCCTTCACAGTTTGTTTTTTTGAACTCAGGAACATGTACTTGCCAGGCAGGCACTTCAGCTCACAGCTTTCAGTTTTGAGCTTCCTGGGGGGCAAAACAGTATGTTGTTTCTTCCCCAAAGGTATGTAATAGTTGCTTCTCACATGAAGAGAATCAGCAGAAAGCGGCTTGCAGGGCTCAGATGTGTTGATTAGAATCCCAAGATTGTAAAAATAAACAATAAAAGTTGGAGGGTCTTGGAAAATGTCAGTTTTAAAAATTATATCTATCAGATGTGTTCATGAGTTATTTAATATGATTTCATTTTTTAAAGAAAAATATGAAGTCATTTGCTATGTTTTTTCCCTATGGCTTGTTGGAAGATGACGTTAGACCTTTTCTG